CCCACCCACCTCCCAGTCATCCCTCTGCCCGTCCGGCCGGCCATCCGTTCACCAGCCCGCCCACCCAGCCATCCGCCCGCCCAGTCAGCCATCTCTACCCCTCCTGCCAATCATCCATCCATCCACCCAAACAGCCCTCATTCCCTGCACCCGTTCACCAGCCAGCCCTCTGCCCCTCCAGCCAAAATCCATCCGTCAACCCACCCACCCGTCCGTCTGTCCGTCTTCCTACCCAGACAACTATTCTTCCTCTCGTCCGACTAAGCACCCATCATGTTCCCGTCCGGCCTCCCTCCCATCGCTCCATCTTTACGTCATCCGTCCTCTTAGACAGGCATCACTCTTCCCATCCATCACGCTCCACCGTGGGATTTGTCCATCCCAGCCCTCCTGCCATCTACCTGTCCAACCACCCACCCAGCCATCCACCCCACCCAGCCGTCTGTCCCTCCTTCCCTCCCTCCATCCACCCACCCCTCCGTGTGCCCGTCCGCTCACCATCCTTCTTTCTCTCCCGCCCGCCCTCCCTTCCCTCTGTCTGTCCGTCCATTCATCCACGCATGCATGCATCCACCCGTCCCACCACGCTTGCTTCCTTCCACCCCCGTCCATCCCCCCACCCGCCTGTCTGCCGACCCACGCGTCCACCCACCCGCTCACCTATCCTTCCTTCCTTCCTTCCACCCACTCGCCCATTTGTCCATCTGCTCATTCGCCCATGCACCCAGCCCTCCATGCTTCCTTCCTTCCATCCCCCGTCCATCCAGCCATCCACCCACCCACCCACCCGTCCATCCACCCCACCCATCCTTCCACCCTCCATCCTTCCTTCCATCCACCCCCCCACCCACCCACCCATCTGCTCCACCCATGCTCCCACCCACCCACTACCTTCTTGTCTTTTTATCCAGTCCTCTGTCACCCTCCCTCTGGCACCCATCTGCGCTACATTTTGCGGGAGGCACTGGGGCCAGGCTTTGCTCTCCTGGCCTCGGACCTCAGCGGAGGAAACAGTCAAGCGGGCAGTGGCCGGGTGGGGGTCGCAGCGAGGGAGTCCGGAGGAGGGACACCAAGCCCAGCTTGTGGCTTGGGGGCCGGAGCCGCCTAGGCTGGGCCCTGAAGGGCGAGTGACTGCCGGACATGCCGAGCCGGGAACAGTGTCCAGGCCGGGCCGAGAAGCGGCCGCGGTCCTGGGCGGGCACCCCCGCCGGGCCCCCGCCCGCTCCCCGCCTCGCCGACTCATCAGGGCCCAGCTGGGTGGGAGAGGACGAGCACGCACGTGTGTGCACGTGTGAGCGGCCTGGGGCGGATCAGGCCCTCCTGGAGCCGCGTGGCCTGCGAGAACGCCGGTCGCCCTGGGGGTGACGCCCTCGTGGGCCTCGCACAGCGCTCTCGCCACCTCCGAGGCGGGTGTTTCACACCGAGGGGCAGGAAACAGAGCGCCTTGCGAGCCCTGCATGCCTGGTGACTTGCAGCTGTGTCAGAGTCAGCCCTGGACGGCTGCGCCTCCAGGCGCTGCCGCGGAACAGGGGCCACCTTGAGGGACAAGCTGCGGAACGCTCCCGCGGGAAAAGACCAAACCCTCCTTCACTTTGCAGGAGAAACCGAGGCCCAGGAGGCAGCCCCGCCGCCGGGGTCGCAGTCCGGGCCTCCTGCTCACCTGAGAGAGGCAGCGCAGGTAGCGTGACACCGCCTTGCGTGTGGGACTGTCCCTGACCAGCCTGTCCTCCTTGCAGGGCACCTTGGCCAGGAAGAGTTGCATCTGGCCAGGGGTCATGTTGGCCAAGTCGGGAAACTTCTCGGGGTCCACGGAGCCGCTGAAGGCACACACGAGGCACTTCCCGTCCAGCAGGGCTAGCAGCACCCAGACCAGCGGGGCAGCCAGTGCCCTCTGCAGCACGGATGTGCACAGGTACCTGCGGGGAGAGGGTCAGGGCAGGGCGCCCAGGCGCGGCAGGCGGCTGCGGGGGACACGCGTGGGGACTTCCAGGAGGGCTGGGAGACGCCGGGTGGTTCCATCAGCTGCAGCGGCTGGGGCAAGGGGTGTCCCCAGGGCAGGGGCGGGCGAAGGAGGGCCAGGGTTCTCCCCAGGAGGGCGGGGGAGGGCCTGGCGGAGAAGCCCCCAGCTTCCCAGGCCCCGGCTGCAATTCTGGGGTGCTCTATGCGCCCCCTCAGAGCAGCCCCAGAAGGACTGGGCCTCGGTGCTGGCTCACATTATGCTCTTCTGGGGAGGCTGGACCAAGAGGCCCTACTGGGAGTCTTCCCAGAGGCAGCACCTCCTCGGCCCCCCGGGAGCCCTCTGGCTGGGCTCTGGTGCTTGGGACTGGGTGTTCGCCACAGGAGCCAGAAGCGCCGTCCCCAGTGGACCCAGAGGACACCCGTGCGCGAGGCCCCCACGTGGCTGAACCACGGGCACCTGTAACCCAGAGCACAGGGCTGCGACTGCATGTGCACAGGATGCAGGTGTTGCTTCTCATGTGCTGTGTGCAGAGCACCAAGGGGTGGCGTTGGGTGGGAGAGGATGAGCACGCACGTGTGTGCACGTGTGAGTGGCCGAGCTGTGTGGCGGCGAGCGTGGTGTGGGGGAATCTCCAGCACTCTCCTCAGGGCAGCGGGGCGTGAGGCCACACTCAGTGCTGGAGGACTCTCTGCCTGAGTCGGGGAGGAGCAGGCAGGCGGGCAGAGGGTGGGAGCCCCGGCTGCTCCTGCCCCGTGTGGGTGGGGCTCTGAGGACGCTGTGTGCGCAGGTGACGACCTTGTCCTCGCAGCCTCCAGTGCAGATGCGGCCTCTAAGCAAATCAGCAAACATCTGCCGTACATGTCACGCATGTGCTGTTATTTTCCAGAGCTGGCACGACAGGTGCAGTGTTGGGGCTTAGAAAATGATGCCCCGGAACGAGGCCTCAGCAGCCGCCACGGAGGCGGCTCCTCTCGCCACGGAGGCTGTCTCCTGCCTCCAGCCTTCCCGTCCTCCTTGAGGCCACAGAAGCTGGAATCCCTCTTCTCCGGCAGCCCTCAACCCAGAGTCCCTTCTTCCCCGAGCAGCCCTGACCCAACAGGACTCTCACTTCCGCCTCTCCGGGAAGCCTGGCCGTAGAGACGGGACCTGCCCCGCCTTGCCTGACACCAGGTCAGAGACCCGTTCCGAGAGCTCTGGTCCAGGAAGGAGGCTGTTTGGAGAGGCCCAGATGCATCTGGAGGATGGGCCACCTAGACACAGCCAGGCACACCCTTTGGTCTGATCCTGTATCCACAGGGTGTCCACCCTTGGCCGGACCTGAGCACACACGTGGATGGTCTCCCCAGGCCTGGCGTTCACGACAGACAAACGTCCTGCCTTTCCTCCTGCTCACCTGCCTTTTGTCTGTGATTTTCAGCAAATTCCAGTGGCCAGCTGGCGTGGGAACCAGTGTCATCCTGGTGTTTACAGCACTGGCCACGCGAGGGATAAGAAACAAGACAGAGACGTGGACACAGCGGGTGGGAGCCAAGCTAAGTCCGCTCGGGACAGTAGGGGCACTTGATGGTGCTGTGGGGGGCCCGACAGATCCCCAGGGGTGGGCTCAGGGCGACCTGGACGTGCCTGTGGCCCCGACAGTGCCCCTGGGGTGGGGCTTGGGGTGCCCTAGGGGTATCTGTGGGTGGGTCCAACAGGTCCTCGGGGTGGGGCTGGGGTGTCACGGGCGCCTGTGGCCCTGACAGTGTCCCTGGGGTGGGGTGGGGTGCCTGCCGCTGCCCATGGGACCCCATGGTGTGGGGGGACGCAGCGCACCTGATGACGCCTGGGTCCTTCCTGCGGCGCCCTGCGGGCCGGCACCACTCCTCCACGGCGACCAGGGCCTGCTGGTTGGCCAGGAGGCCGCAGAGGAACAGGGCAAGCGGTGGCGCCAGCAGCAGCCCCAGGCCGTAGAGAGCGTTGTAGCGCGCCAGGCACGGGCAGCTGACGTCCACGGAGGCGTAAAGCTTGGCGGTGCCCGCGACCAGCAGCAGGCAGAGCCCGTTGGTCGCCGCCTCCGAGCTGGACTGCAAGTGCTGGAAGAGCCCGCGGAGCCGCTCCATGGCCGCAGCACCCGGCGGCCCGGTGGTCCCTCTGCTCTGCCGGGGACAGGAGGAAGCGGTCCCCCCGCCAGGCCGGGCTGGTGCCTCTATGCAAACGGCCCCTCCCTGCCCAGCCCATTCCTGCCTCGGGTTTGGACGCTCAGGCCGGATGGCAGGTGGGGCCTCTGCCCGGCAGGCAAATCTCGGGCGTGGTGAGCCGCTGTGCGAGGCGCTGTGGTGTTTGCTGAAACGTGACTTAACTCAGCGGGGGCCTTCACACTGGCTTTCGGGTTGGGGGAGCCGGGCTGGGGACCGACCCTTCCTGAGGGCTTCCTGGAAGAGGAGGCCCTTGAGAAGAGTCATAAACCGCATCTCAGCATTTGTCCTGGAACGGAAGAGGGAGGGGCCTGAGAGGCTCAGAGGTGGGTGCGGGAGGGGCTGGGGCCCGGGGGCTGGCGCCCCGGCTCCGTGGTGCTCACCGCCTCCAGGGGAGCCAAGTGCAGCCTCTGCCTTCTCACTGCTCTGCCCACTCAGGCAGCGTCCT